TTACTGGCCCATATAAATGTATGAATAATACCGCCATGTGGTACAAGGCCTCATTCACATGGACGTACTTAAGCATACACCTGTGCGAGGGTCGTGTTTGCTCACATGGGATGCACAAGTGTTCTATGGAACTGTGTGTGGGCAGTCCCATTCCTTTCTGTTGGAAGCAGCAGTTGCATGAGCACAACTACTGCTTCCAGTTTGAAATGGGAATGGGTGAGTGTCCCCAAACTCACACTGTCTTTGCCCATGCAGCTGATGCTCAAGATAGATATGAAAAGGACTGCCGGCACACAGATGCCTGGAATCCCATGTGGACAAACACGGCCATTTGCATGAGTTTACACTTAAAGGATAAGTTCACCTTTGGAACATATAACATGTTCCACGTGTTTTTAGGGTGGAACATGTAACATGTTCCCATAGCTGCAGCCACCCCCGCCACCCCCCTCCCTCTGACAGATAGTATAGGGAAACTTCTCCACGTACTATCTGTCCAATTTGTAAACAGCGCGGCCGTGCGGGGTTCCGCCCACACTGCCGTGTCATTCATTCACGAACTTCCCTGAATTAATGAACTGCAGGTCCCGACAGCCTTAGCGTCTGTGGGTTTGTAGTTTTCAATGAACTACCACGGCGCTGTGAAACACCATGGTAGTTCCTTAAAGCTTCCTGTCAGAATATCTGCTTGCTTGTACATCCCGTACGGCAAACAGATATTCTGACAGGTCTGTAGGAGACCTGCATGGCATCAGCCATTTGCATATCACTGGTGCAATGCTTTACCGGCTCATTTGGACAAAAAATAATAAATGCATATTTTTTTACCTGCAACAAAATGTTCATTTATTATTTTTGTCCAAAAGGTGAACTTATCCTTTAAAGTGTTACTAAACCCTCAACAGTAAAATTAGATTGTATATGCAGTAAAGCATGCTTGTTATACTCACTCTGGAACCGAAGGGGTTAATCCTCCACATCATTTAAAAAAACAGTTTTTTTGTGTTCTCTGATACTCCCCTTCTTCTACTGTCCCCAATCCATATGCTGATTCACTCTGCACATGCTCAGTTTGGTGTTTATTGCTAGAGAGTTTTTTTTTTCTTTGGGATGGTGCATGTGATCAGCACAGGGCCAATCAGCACTGTCCAGATAGAGGGTCAGGGGTTATGCAGCCTCATAGGACATTCAGAGCAGAATGAAAACGCCTCCTACAATATTAACCAATACTCAGCTGCACACTGATAGAAGTCACAAGACTGCTATATACTGGTGATGAGAAAAGGTATTTAGCATTTGATATTTACTAAAATATTGCATTTCTTTGCACTATGCGCTATAATTCCTTGTTTTTCAAAAACCTATATCTATCACTCTATTACTATACCTTACCTATGCTTTATTGCATAAGTGCCTAGGCCAGGGTTTTTCAACCAGGGGTTCATGGAATCCAAGATTTCTCCAGAGGTTGCTAGGGGTTCCTTGAGCAATGAGCAATTTCTGCCTCTCAGAAGAGTTTTCACTAACACCTTTGATCCTTTTAGCTATCAGTAAGAGGGTAATTTTTCCCAAAGACTGCAAGTGTAAGGAGCATTCTTCCCACTGACCATCACACTAATGTATCATGAGTTGTAAATATAGGGTTTTTTTTTTATATCAGGGGTTCCCTGAGACTGGAAAGTTATTTCAAGGGTTCCTGTTTGTTGAAAAGATTGACAAAGGCTGGTCTAGGGTATGCAGCCCTTTACTGTGTGCATACATCTCTCAGTACAGGGTGAACTAGAGTTCTTTACGATGTCCTTTTCTGCCCTGCATATTTCTCCTGTCTCTTCATATATTTTATCAATACAATGAGAGACAAATTTAGAGAATATGTATATTTCTAATACCTTATTCATAGCCACACAGGTTCAAACTGACAAATAAATTAATTTCCTTTTTTGATATTTTTTACTGTGCCTGGTTCTCTATTTATGTAACATGTGTTACAATGGTCACCAGAGGGTAGCATTAACACATTAATGACTTTCCATTAAAAGGTGAGGCTGGCAAAGGAAAATTCATATTGAGTGAATGTGCTAATATGGTTCATGGACAGTGAAGCTCTGTGATACTAATGGAATCTTCAATAAGATGAAATGAAAAGAGCAGCAAAAGCTGCAGATATTAGTATCATGTCAGAGAATGTATGTAAAGCACATGAGAATGGAGCATTTATCACACTGAGATGGGAGGTCAACTGATGTGAAAATATAATTGAAGGCATTAGACCACATTCATAAAGATCAGTGTGACAATTTTTATAAATTGTACCTGGAAGTCACATTTCAAAGACCACAAAAGAGCAAATATATTTTCTAGTAGAATTCTTTTCTCCATTTTGCAGCGATGACTGGTGTATATTTTGGAGACTAGGTTTTCTTTGTGAACAGGGTTTAACTATAGCCATGAGAATGCATGTTAGTGTCATGGTACCTGCAGACATCGAGGACTCGGGTAGATACTGTACATGCATATTGGGTCTAAATGCAGGTAAAAAAAAAAATTTCAGTTTATAAATATATGCATAGCAATTCCAAATATTAATCAGGCAACTTTAACCAAACAAATCAGTACACACAAGGGTGAGTCAATAAGTATCTGCACTCTATTTCTGTAATTAATTAGAACAATCGAAAAGAATGTACAGTTACATAATTTTCCAACATAGTTCCCTTGCTCTTCAAACACTTGTTCCAGTATTCCACTTGTATATACGCTTGAACAAAATGTTTTTTGTTTGTCCCTCAGTCATGTATGCACCATGGATATGGATGGGTGTCCTGCTCCTACGTGCTTAACACCTGTCCAATGGGTTTTTAACTTCTCAATCCATTTGTATACACTTCACCATGGTAAAACACTGTCCCCATCAGGCAGTCCCCAGGTTATGAATGAAGATAGATTCTGTAGGTTTGTTCTTAAGTTCAATTTGTATGTAAGTTGGAACAGGTACATTTTTTAAGTGTAACTCCAGCCAAAAAAATATTTTTAAGCTTTGGATAGCATAGGGAAGGGTTAACTGGCAGGTGATGTGGGATTGCTGACAGGTACGCTGGACAGTAGGTGGCAGCATGCGCTGAGCAGCAAGATGGCTGCCTGGCAGTTTCTGGGACCAGTATGACATCACACTGCCTCTGTTCTTAAGTGCGAATCGTATGTAAGTTGGATGTTTGTAACTCGGGACTGCCTGTATTGTGATTAAGGCCTTAGATGGCTTTCAGCTTCTGTTCTCGATTTGTCTTTGGAGCAAATGGAGAGTGGCATGGTCATGTTTATTATGCAACAGTAGCAAAGGAAACAAAAAAAGAGTGATAAAGGTAAAAGATTTAATAAAAGTATGTGCAAAAATCAGTACAGCCAACCTAAAGTGTGGTAATACATGACTCACCTTTTTATATAAAAACTACTTTACCTGCCCAAAATTTGTAAAGTTATGAACATACAGTAGTCTTGTACTTTAAAGCCCAGCTCTATGCTATCCAGCTCTACTTGCACCCACCAAGGAATTCCCCCACCTTTCACTCAAATGTATATGTAGCCTTTCAAGTAGGGTGCACATGGAAAGGCTTTTCACAGAGAAAAATAAAATATAAATCAACAAAATATATTTCTTATCACACTAACCAGCTAGCCAGCAAAAAAAAAAAAAAAAAAAAAAAAAAAAACAATTACACACACAGTTTGCATTTAAACAAAAGTTTCAGTTGCACAACATTTGCAAATATACATGGAAGGTGCACTGTCTCGTCAATGCCACTCTGTATGTACTGTCCTAACTCTAAAGTGTGTTCATGACAGACTAGACTCACTGGAAGTTGTTGAATGATGCTGAGGGGTTTATTTACTAAAGCTGGAGAGTCCAAAATCAGACTCCCTTCTGCATAGAAACCAATCAGCTTCCAGGTTTCATTGCCAAAGCTTCATTGAACAAGGTGAGGTTAGAAGCTGATTGGTTTCTATGCAGAAGGGAGTCTGATTTTGGACTCTCCAGCTTTAGTAAATAAACCCCCGAGTGTCATTCGACCTGGAAGCGCGGTGCGGGATTATAAAAATAGTTTAAGGCACGTCTAATGCAAGACTAAATGAAACAGGTGAAAAACTATGAACTTAAAAAAAAAACCCATAATTTTCTGCATTTCAATCAAAATTTCAAATCAAATTGACAGCGGGAGTGCTTTTCTGGGCTATTAAAATAGTTGAACAAGTAACATATCTACAGTCTGTCTCACATATTTTTGACACAAAGTACACTGGTGTAGCATAGAACAGTTGTTTATGCAACACTTGAAAATTCAGGCAGATTACAGACATTTGTCAGAAGCAAAATTAAGGCTCTCACATAAATAATTGCAGGTTTAAAATATGTGATTCTCAACCATATAACACAGGGGAAACTGAAAAAAACAAATAAATTAGATGCACATGAAAAGGATATATTTTACTAGTATCACAAGGAGAGACCAGACTTGTCTCATCTCCATCAGGCTCTTCCTACTGTTGATATCACTCATATTAGGAGCCTGTTGGCTGTAAAGCCAATAAATGCAATGAGCAATGCTGCTATCCCCACATCCCTGATCCTGGTACAGAGCCCAGGACCGAACTGTTAGTGGGGCAGCTTGCCAAAAAACGTGACTGTCCCAGAAAATCTAGGATAGTTGGTAAGTATGCCACTGCCTGCTGTCAATCACAAGGAAATAGCAGATCTGATGGGGAAGTAATGTTTCATCTCTATCAGACTTTTCTCACTGTTGGCATCACACATGCTAGTAGCCTTACAAAATCCTTGACAACAGTGACAGATAGGGAGCAGGGGTGATCTCAGGTAGGTTCGGGCACAAGTCCAAACCCTCCTGAGCTATTCCACCAGGAAATTTTCAGACCGCCAATCATAGGTGGCATTCCCCACGCCGCAGCTGCATGTATAAATGCCTCTTGTATATTTGCTGGGTAGGGCATGCTCTTGCTGCCTGTGATTGGCTGTCTGATTTGACAACTTTCTGGTGGGATAGCTCAGGCAGATTCAGACTCATGCCTGAACCAGGGGCGGACTGACAAGTCATGGGGCCCCCGGGCAATAGGGGATCATGGGGCCCCTGTGTCCTTGCCCAAACTCAAAAAAACCTATGAAAAAGGTACCAAGGGCATCTCATGGGGCCCCCTACTGACCTCGGGCAGTGCCTGAGTTTCCAAATGGTCAGTCCGCCTGAACACACCTGAACTGATCCCTTGTGGGGAGGTTATGGGGTAACAGCTGAAAGCAATCCCCCTTGCTACACAGGCATCGCTCATGCTAGGAGCCTGTTAGCCATGAAGCTGACAAAATGCAATGATACCTCTGCTGTCCCCACTACACAGGACAGAACTGTACCGGGACAGCTTACCAAAAAGTGTGACTGTCCCAGCAAATCTGGGACAGTTGGCAAGTATGCCACTGCCTTCTATCAGTCACCTCTACTGATGGGGAACTAGTATCTCCTCTCTATCAGATGCTCACTGTTGGAATCACACATGCTAGGCCTGTTGACTGTGAAGCTGACAAAATCCTTGACAACAATGACAGTTGGGGAGCAGGGGTTGAGCCTAGGTGGGTTGGGACATGGGGACATGAGTCTGAATCCACCTGAACTACCAAGCTGTTAAAGCCAGCAGCCAAAGTCATAGGCAACAGTGGCATTTCCTGCCTCACAGCTGCATGTATACATGCTCTTACATTAATGCAACTGCAGGGAATGCCTAAGCAATTGGTTGTCAGCTTTGTCAATTTCACACCAGGATAGCTCAGGTGTGTTGACACTTGTGTCTGGACAAACCTGTGTTCATCCCTAGTAAGTAGTTAGCTTGCTCTAGTTAGGGGGAATAGCAGGGTCTCAGAAAAAGACCAGTTCTGTGGTTGAGCACCTAAACAAATGTTCAGTGCTGAGTGCCTCTCTCAAGAATTTAGGCTGGCCTTTCACATATAGAATTCTCCATCCACGCTAACACGGATAGCCTCCTGTTGAGGGCTACTATAGTTTGGCACTGCTAGCGGTCAGGATAATTTTAATTCCTGCATCTGCTTGAGCAACAGTTTTCCACCCTGGCTCCTTTGAGAAAAGTCAACTGAAAACCTGACATTTGTTGATCCAGATGTTGTCGACAGGACAACCTAAGCAGCAAATTTAAGGCTGCATCATCAGAAATGTGATGTGTGTAGAACCATCTTTGAACTGGGGGTGGTGGTGGGGGGGAGGGGTTAAATTGCCATCAGAGGTCACAAAACAAAATGGAATGTTTTTAATTGATTTTTTGTAAACAGAATACAAAATGTATTCCCAAATGTTAAGAAGTAAATTTTATGCAAATTGTTAAAAAATAAAAATAAAATTACATTTAAAAAATTTAAAATTGAAGGAATAGTTTCAACATCTGATGGTGGCAAAAATTCTAAATGGACCTCAAGTTGCTAAATAAAGTAACCTCCAACATTCTTTAAATACTGTATATTAATAGTAAATGTTATCTTGTTATGTAGGCCCTTTAATGTCACCCTAAAGAAAACAAATCTATTTAAATATCTTCTTTAGCTCTTTATAAACAAAGGAAAATGGTGGGGGGATGATGTACAAAATGATGATGGTATAAAAAATCTCTCAAATGAACTATGATGGCTTAAAATTCATGTAGTCCAGAAATAGACAAAATTAAAAAAAACACCAGATGGCTCACTCACATGCCCACTGAAAGAATCCAACTGTGTTATTTGTAAGACATTGTTTCTAATTTTAGAAACACTTTAAAGTAGACCTGGACTCAAAAAGTGAATATTTGCTTACCTAACATCTACAAAGTTGTTTTTTGTGCCTAAGCAGTGCCTAGAGCCATTTACTTCTGTCTTGAGTTCCTCTTCTTCAATAACAGCCTGTAATGCCAAACTACAGGTAATAGAACAAGCAAGATACTTTCCTGTATTGGAAGAGGTGTGCATCCAGCAAGCCATTGTAGACTGAGAATATGCATTGATTAGAGATGGGGAATTTATTTAATGTGGGTGTGGATCTACAAGAGGCATATTGTTAGCCTAATAGTTTACAGGACTGCAGTGAACAATCATTCTGCACTGTAAAGAAAAAGTGGAAAAACACTACATACATAATCAGGGGCGGACTGACAACTCATGGGGCCCCCAGGCAATAGGGGATCATGGGGCCCCTGTGTCCTTGCCCAAACTCAAAAAAGCCTATGAAAAAGGTACCAGGGGCATCTCATGGGGCCCCCTACTGACCCTGGGCCCTCGGGCAGTGCCCGAGTTTCCAAATGGTCAGTCCGCCCCTGTACATAATAATAAAGCAGTGCAGCTGACCCATGCAGCATATGCAGGAGAGGATTGTGGAGGGTATGATGGTGAGCAGTGTTTACAGGAGAGGAGTACGGAGGGATGGCGGTGAATAGTGTGTGCAGGAGAGCAGTGTTGAGGGTATGATGGTGAGCAGCATGTACAGGGGAGGAGTGCGGAGGGTATGACGGTGAGCAGTATGTGCAGGAGAGAAGTTCGGAGGGTATGAAGGTGAGCAGTATGGGCAGGAGAGGAATGTTGAGGGTATCACGGTGAGCAGTATGTGTAAGAGAGGAATATTGAGGGTATGATGGTGAGCAGCATGTACTGTACAGAAGAGGAGTGTAAAGGGTATGGTGGTGATCAGTATGTGCAGGAGAAGAGTGCCGAGGATATGCGGGTGAGCAATATGTGCAGGACAGGAGTACGGAGGGTAAAACGGTGAGCAGTATTTACAGGAGAGGAGTGAGGAGAATATAAAAGTAAGCAGTATGTATAGGGAAGGAGTGCGGAGGATATGATGTTGGTCAGTAAGTGCAGGGCTGGGGTAGGTGCAGAAAAGTGGTCTAATAGTGATGTGCACAATCAAAAAACTACTGTGCTCATCTACTAATAGATAAAACAATAAATACAATGCTGCTCATAGAAAACAACCTTATGTTATGAAATATACCTCTAGGTGTTCTGTGTATGTACAGATAATGTGAAGCTTAAAATATGACCATTCCATGTATTTATTTATTACTGGTACTTTTACAGCGCCAAAAACGAACTCTCCTGCACTCTGAGACCCAGGTGGATGGCGAATAGATGGAACCAGAATTGTAAGATTCAACCACCAGTGCAAATAGGGTTGTGCAGCTCCAAACAAGGCTGGGGAAGCCCGACCAGTACTGCAAAGCGAAACAAAAACGAGAAGCGCACCAACCTTGCGCATTACCTCAGTAATTAAAATTTATTGAATACAAAATTATACTCACATACAGCGAAGTAAATCAAGCATGTAAGTCCTCAAAGGAACTTGAAAGTAAGGAAGCCTGCGCGAGTCCCATCATAGGGGTAGACACTCAGAGTACAGCTGACGCGTTTTGAAGGGCATCCCTTCTTCATCAGAGCTGGATGAAGCTGGATTACTGAGGTAATGCGCAAGGTTGGTGCGCGTCTCGTTTTTGTTTTGCTTTGCAGTACTTTTACAGCACCATCAATTTATGCTGCGCTGTTTACATTGTACATTCACATTAGTCCCTAACCCTCAAGGAGTGTACAATCTAATGTCCCTAACTCACATTCACACATAAACATACTAAAGCCAATTTAGACAAGAGCCAATTAACCTACCAGCATGTCTTTGGAATCTGGGACGGAACACACACAGGCACAGGGAGAACATGCAAACTCTATGCAGGCAGTGCCGTGGCTGGGATTCAAACCGACGACCGGGTGGAAATGCTAACCACTTGGCAGAAGTGCTACAAACTATAAACTCTAATTATAAGTGGATACAAAATACCAATCCTGAATAAGCAAATTATTCTTGAAAAAAATCAGTATTGCTTTTGTGCTACCATGTAAATAGCCATGAACACCGTTCTCCACTCTGTTTATTGAGGATTGTTATTTTGTATCTACTCACAGCTAGAGTGTATAGTTCCCTGGAGCCCAACCCGCAGCCTGGGGGCCACATGCGGCCCTTTGGCACTTTTTTTTGTGGCCCTCCAAACCCCTGCAGACACTAATCTGTGTTTCCCTATTGCCCAGTTATAGCAGTAATTTCTAGCACTCTCAAGTATCATGTCTCCAGTCAATGACTGCCGCTGGATGCATGCCCCTGGTCTTCAGCAACTCCTATAGCATGTTCACAGTCTCTGATGGTTTCTTGTATCATGTCTCTGGCCATCACTTGTATCTCTTCCACAGTCCCTGATCATCTTTCTTATTATATCTACAGTCTCTGGCCATCTCTTCTATCCTGTCCAGTCTCTGACTATCATGCCAGGTTTTTTTACTATATCCTGTTGTGTGTTTGCTGTTTGTGACATAGAATAATCACTGAATTCTATGTGTGGCAATCTGGGTGATGTTGCGGGCCACACTTGAGGCCCACCAAACACTAATTCCCTCTTCCGAGTCCAACCTTCCCCCCCGTCACCTTAACCCCCTTGCCCTGTGCCTGTTAATCAAGCCCCTCTGCTGCACAGCGCACAGAAGCAGCAGGAACTTTGTCTTATTTACCTTCAGTTTTTTAACTATGAATTAGAGGTAATTATTTTTTAATCTGGTACATTTAAGAACTACCTTAATTGGTTGCACGTTTTACTAAAGCTACAGAAACGGCTTATTTAAGTCCAGTGCAGGACTTTTTAAAGGGCCATACTGCCAGAAAAATTAATCAAATTCTTTACTGAATCCCCCCGCAGTCTTTTTCATCTCTGTCCGATTCATTTTTATGAACTACAGAATCCTTTGCCTCTATGTTTTGGAGATGGAGAGAGGGGAGATATTTTGTAGTCCTAACACCTCTGGTTTTAGCTTGACTATACTCCATAGGCACAGTACAGTGTGTATGTATTATCACCATAGAACAGAAAGTATGTCATTAGCTGGATCATCAAGTGACAATAAAGGAAAGAATGAAGAAAAAAAACAATTGCCGCCACCACATCTCTTGCCTGATAAGCTGCAATATATTACATTTTTGTTCTTGGAATTAGATACAACTTTAATATCCATTCTTTGTGTATAAGCAGAGATATGCACACAAAAACACAATAAGCATATGCTGCTTCTCCTGAAATCCTCTCCATGCTCCATCGCTGTCACTAAGAATTTGCTGACCTTTCTGTGTATTATTCCTGGAAACGGCTGATATCACGAAGAGAGGAAGAAAACCAGGGGGTGATAGGGAGGGGTTGTAGAGAAAGCCTAGGGGGATACGTAATAAACATTTACAGTTCTCTGCTCCTGCATAAACCCTACCAAGTCCCACATATCAGTCAAAGCGAAAAAGGTCAGAAAATTGTTTAGCAACAACTTACTCATCTATCCCATGTTATAGTTAAGAAAACTATGGAGGCTGCCATTGCTTAGCTCTCTTTTTGAAACTGATGGTTCCCTGGCTGTAATGCTGACCTAATGTGTTTTACTTTCAGCCACTAATCCAAACCTTTACGCAGATTAGGATCTCTTACTTCTGACTTCACCAGCTGCCTAATTGTCTTATTTCATCTACTCAGACTTCATTCACAAATTTGAAATTGCAACTTACACTGGCAGGTATACAGTGTCTAGTGAAATATTTCTAAACTAGTGGTCCAAGAAATATATTTAATATACACATTTGTATAGCACTGTCAATTTACATAGTACACATTCATATCAATCCCTTCCCTCAAGGAGTTTAAGGTCTAAGAACCCTATCTCACATAGTTACATAGTTAATCAGGTTAAAAAAAGACACCTAGTTCAACCAAAAGAATAAATAAATAGAAAACCTCCTTACACACAATCCTATATCCACAAGTTGATCCAGAGGAAGGTGAAAAACACCCTATGAAGCATTATCCAGTGGGGGAAAAATTCCTTCCTGATTTCCCAATAGGCAATCAGATATTTCATGGATCAACAATCTCTGGTGTTATAATATGTAAATGTTAAGATCCAGTTACATTTTGTGCATTTAAGAATGCTGTTTTTAAAAACAGCAATCTACTGAGCTGGCCAGAACTAGTTCTCAAAGGAGTCTATTCCATGTTTTCATAGCTCTAACTGTGAAGAAGTCTTTCCATATGTGGAGGTTAAATCTCTTTTCCTCCAGACGTAAGGAGTCCCCCTTGTCCTATTTATTGATACGTACATGGTGATCATATCCCCCTTAATCGCCTCTTCTCTAGAGAGAATAAATGAAGTTCAGCTAATCTTTCCTCAAAGCTAAACTCCTCAATGCTTTTTATCAATTCAGTTGCCCTTTTTTGCACTTTTTTTTGTTACATGGACACATATACTAGGGCCTGTTTAGTCAGAATTCAATTAGCCTACTAGCATATCTTTGGAGTACGGGAGGAAACCCACACAAGCACAAGGAAAACATTCCAACTCCATGAAACTAGTGTCCTGGACTGGATTTAAACTAGGGACCCCAGTGTTTTTGTTTTTTACATTTGTGCTAACCGCAAAGCCACTATCCTCTTAAACTGAATTCTGCCTGCTACATCTGCAACCAGACCCCCGACTTGCTCACCTCCTGGTGGGATGATCGTGAGGACTATGACCTGGAACTAGTATTCAGCAAAAAAAAAATCTCCACTATCAGTAGCTCTGGTGAATACCAGCTAGTACTTAGACCCCGTGCCTTAGGTGAGCCTGCATCATCTGCCAGGGTAACCTGCTTGTGTATTTATCCTGCCGGTTGGTGGGAATCTCTCAACTGCTATAACTACTGGTCTTTGAGCCTGACCCCCGGACCATGACACATTTACAATAATCGCAGTGCTAGGAAACTTTCCTAGTGTTTAATAACAACAACTGTAGTCTAATCAGTTTACTATAACTGAAGGGTTGGAGAGTAAAATATGTGTTTTTGCTGATTACATGTAGGGTGAATATTTCTGGAGGTGTTTGTACATGGAACAAGATTTATCTGGAAGATTTGTCAGAGCAGTCATAATAGCAGTTCAATGTTTCTAAATGCAAAATAATGCTCTCATGGAAAAAACATCCTCTCACAGAGTACAATTTTGGGCATATAGTGTTGCCCAGAACTACAGAAGAAACATTACTGGTACTTATTTCATATTATTGCAAAATTATCAAACTGTGTGTCCTGCTCCAGACATAGGCATCACCTACAAAAAGAGAACAAGTCCAGCGAAGGGCAACTCACAATTGTCAGGAGTGGCTGAAGGAACTTATTATGCATAGCCTCAAGGAATGAAAGGAAAGAGGGAATATGTTTAAAATTTCTAAATATTGAGAGTGTAACTTAGGTTTAGAAAGACAGTAT